TGAGTCAGCATCCACCTACTCAAGAGTGTCTTTTGGAGTTGTTACTGTAGGAGGCAAAGATCCAAGGTTCCTCTTTGGATGTTTAGACATATCTTTGCATAGTTGTTTAGGCCAGAGGTGGTATTCAGCAGGTTCTGACCAGTTCTGGAGAACCGGTAGTGGGAATTGTGAGTAGTTTGGAGAACTTGCAAATACCACCCGCCCCCATCTATTCTCTACCTCCTGAGTCCCAGCTGATCAGATGGGTCTTTTTTTGTTGTCCTGCACAGGAGAACGGAGCTGGAAAGCAGGTTAGTGGGGTGGGGAGGGAATGGGGATTGTGCAGTATCCTTCCCCTGCCACACCCACCAAGCCACACCCACAGAACCAGTAATAAAAAAAATTGAATCCCACCACTGGTTTAGGGTCTCTTGCCTGAGCAGGGGATTGAACAAGAACACTTCCAAGGTCCCTTCCAACCCTGTTGCTCTATGTCCTAGGTCAATGGTTCTCTATCTGTGGTCCGAGGACCCATCGCTATGATGTTTTTATACATAGCTGGCTGAGGAATTCTGGGAGTTGAAGTCCACAAGTCTTAAAGTTGCCAAGTTTGGAGACTCCTGTCCTAGACCCGAAGAAATGTTATGATTTAAATCTTGGGTTACATATTGGGCCTCTGTGGCCCTGGTACACGTGACCCCAAAAGGTATTTAAAGGGAGCCTGTGGTGAAAAGAAGATTGAGAACCACTGGTTCTACCACTATGTTGTTTTCATTGCCTTCGTTTCTGGAGGGGGGGAAATCAGACATAAAACTCTCAAGCAACCCGTTAAAATTCAACATTAATCTTAATATCCACCACGCATTCATTTTTGGATAGAATCGTATATAAACATTTGGAGGGCGAGGGGGGTGGATGGGTGGGAGAAGTCGATACCAAAATAAATTAACATTTAAGGGCAACTGCCTTCCTAGGTTACCTTTGTGAATGGGAGGCAAAGCTGAAGCGTGTTTTTTAAGGTCTTCTGCGCATCAAGCGTCGGCGTGATAATAGTTCGTATACAATTTTTTTTTTTTTTTATCCCACCCATAATAAAAAGCGCGGAGGAGATGGCGAGGATCTCTGCTCAGGGCAGCACGAGTTCCAGATACAAATCCCTTGGGGAATCCCGAGGCAGAGGGGAAAGCTCGGAGGATGAGATCCTTGTCACTTCCCAAATGCGGTCGCCGCGCGCAGGTTAATTCATGAACAGGCATTTCCTGCAAGATTGAAGCAATCAAGATTTTGCAAAGCGTGCGAAAGGAGCCTGTTGCCTGCCAGCCAGCCAGCCAGCTGGCCCTCAATCCTTGCGCCCTCCCTCGCCCCCTTCCCCCCCCCCCCCCCCCCCCCAAAAAATAACCCATCGTCCAGGTTTTTAAGACCGATTCTTTCCTTGCCATAAGCCAAAGAGGACCCAGATAGAAATCATTGGTGGGGCCAATGAGTCCCAGCGGGAGGAACTTGACCGCCAACCTGCTCTCCGCGTGTTCGTGGGGCTTCTCGCTCTGGGTCAGTGGAGAAAAGCTCTCGCGTGGCCTGTTTCTCCTCTTCCTCTCCCCACTTCTTTTCTTTTCTTTTCTTTTCTTTTGCTACAGCAGCCCTCGACTGCCTCTGAAGCTCTTCTCTTTTTGAGACTCTAGGCTGAGAAGGTCCAGTAATTTGCCCCTCCCCCCTCTTTTAAAGAAAAGGGAGGGGAAAGAGGAACATTGAAACAGTTTGAACGAGGGGTCCTTGGTGGCCTCTGAGCTTGATTTGTTTTCTCGCAGACGGTTCATGACCCAAACTAGATAACGTCTTCTCTGCTAGGTGACTGCATTTTCTTGCAGGAAACAACCAAGCAAGAAAACAACCGAGGTCAGAGAGCCACCAAAGACACACACACACACCCCACTGCAACATCAGTGACTTGTGCGACACAAGGACCCCTGCTTCTTGCATTTCTAGTAATAATTGCTAGTCTGGTGAAGAGAAGGACCAGGGGAGACATGATAGCAATGTTCCAATATTTGAGAGGCTGCCACAGGGAGGAAGGGGTCAAGCTATTTTCTAAAGCACCTGTAGACCAGACAAGGAATAATGGATGGAAACTGAACAAGGAGAGATTTAACCTGGAAATAAGGAGAAACTTTCTGACAGTGAGAACAATCAACCAAAGGAACAGCTTGCCCTCGGAAGCTGTGGGAGCGCCATCACTTGAGACTTTCAAGTAGAGATTGGACCACCATTTGTCAGAAATGGTGTAGGGTCTCCCGCTTGGGCGGGGGGGGGTTGGACTAGATGACCTACAAGGTCCCTTCCAACTCTGATTATCTGTTATCCCAGATTATCCCCATCGCACCGTTCTATCCGTTTCATTGGTGCTATGAATCCTAGTATTGAGTCCCCACAAGCTGCAACTTTTGTTCCCATGCAAACCATCATGGTTTAAAATAACCAGAATAGCTTGAAGCAGAAAAGTCCTGTCCAGCTGGTCCTATTTCTGAAAACAGCATATCCGAGCCTTTTAGAGGAACCTTAATCCTGCAAGTTTGAGCCATTTTAATTTTTGTAACTTTCTTCTCCAACCACCCACCCCCTCAGCCCCGTCCCATCCTGTGGACAGCCAATCTCCCTACGGCATTGGGTGCCACCAAAGCAACTTCAAAATGGGCACCCCCCTTCCCAGCCCTGAAGCATCAGTTACCTGGGTGTGCTATGCAAACAGCTGCAGCTCCAGGAGGCTGGCCCAGGTGGTATGGACAGATCAAGGTGGCTTTTGTGGCACTCATGCTGATGTCTTCAGAAACAATGATGGTCATGAAAATGCTAAAGAAATACAGCCCTCCAAATCCTCTATGTGCCCCCCTCGCCCCCTGTGGTCTATCTACTGTATGTGGTTACTAAGAGTTGACATCCCAAGTACGTGGTTACTAAGAGTTGGCACACCATCTTTCAATGAATCAAATTCCCCTTTGCAGAGGCTGTGTAAAACCTATAATGCACCCCAAAAATGATTGAAACCGCAACGTATCTAGCGCTCTGACCCAGCTTATCTCAACCTTTTTCTGAAGTGCAGGATCAGAGCCGTTTCAAAAGAGCATTTGTACTTGGAAAACAAGTTTGGTTAGGGTTAGGGCACTAGACCAATATATAAAAAGACGAACGCCTTGGAAAGTGCTGAGGAGGCATAAAGTGCTCCCTTCCAGGACCTACATCCTAAGCCAAAAGGATCTTGGAAGGCAGAGCCCACCAACCCCAGGAAAGGAGAGCAGGTAGTAGGAGCAGCTGACCAATAGGAGCCAGGGAGAGCCAACCTTGGATGATGTCAGCCATCAAGCTGTCAATGAAGAGTCAGACCACATCCAGCATATCAGGAAAAAAAAAGGGTGGTGGTGGAAACCTTACATCAAATATTCTAAACCTTAAGAGCCACTGATGACTGTAAACTGCTTCAATTCGGACGCTCAGGGCATGGATGGAGACATCATAAGAAGCTCCGAGAAATGGAGTGGAACAAATGGCTTGACTCAGTAGAAAGGGGGCTTCAAAGCAAGCGTAGTAGATTAATTCGTTGAGAAAGAGCTGGAAAGGAGCAGGTTTGGAAAACGCGTCCGCTTCCACGGAAGCCAAAACAGGCTCGTTTCTCACCTCCTGGCTGTTGAGGCGAGCCGTCCCTAGATCAAGAGCAGCCAAGGTGCCCTACTCTTTTTGTGGACTCCATCAGGTTCACTTGGGAGAGTGACGGGGGTGAGTGGTAGGTGTCCAAGTAAGAGGACCCTTTTAGCCAGACACGGAGGTCTATATAAATCGGATCGCCTATCTGGCGCCTCGTCCGCCTCTATTTATCTGGGAACTAGGAGCCTAATTTGAGCTGCTCCGAGGCTGTACAAAAGCGCAGCCCACCGGCGATTCACACACACACACACA